GCTGGTAGGAGCAGTCACCTCTAGCTATTCCTGGGGAGGCTCCGTCTATTGGTGGGGAGCTGCACCTGCTGGGAAATGGGCCCAGCGTCCGTTTTTACAAATCGCTGAGTTCATATACAGGGGCATGCTTGTGCTGGGCTGTGATGACTGGCGATTGCGCCCTCTTTTCAAAAGGTTAACCACCACTACTTCCGAGGCACTTTTCTCTGGGGCTGGAAACAATGCTGTGTGCCAAAGAAAACGGACTGGCGTGGGCCTCCTTTTGGCCGGTGCCGCCAGCCATTATTGCTCCGGCCGTCGGCAGTCGAGCCCCGAAAGTTGCAGCAGCATGCAAGCCGCATTTTTTTTTTTGACATAGCTGGGAAACGTACTGGTGGTTTAAATCACCTGGATCTTCTTTTTTTTCCAGTCAAGACCGGTCCCAGGGGGCAGATTAGGGTGAAGGGAAAGAAGCAGAGGCATACTTTGGTGGGAACTGGATGCCTTTGGGGTTACAGGGGGGGGGGAGGGGGGGACTGTTTCCTTTTCTTTTTTTAATAGGGAACATGCTCCAATCTATTCGTGGGGAGCAGCACGTGCTGGGAACCGGGCCCAGCGTCCCCTTCAAGATCATATTGAGAAACTGAGAAATTTATGGGAAAATCCTTGAGGTACCGGGGCCATTACCCAGCTTCGGCTAAGAAAGACAACTGTGTACAAGAAGGGGGGGGCTGTTTCAAGTTGGGGCTGATGAGGAAAGTCTACCATTAGGATATTCTTTTTCGGCAGAGGCAGCTACGAGACCAGGAGGGAAGGAGGAGAGGGAGGGGGGATTTTCTATGTTCTTTTTTATCATCTGTGCTACACATGTAGCACATGTGTAGCACAGGACTAATCCTCATTAATTGACGACCATCTGTGCTACGCACGACCTGGGAGACAGATGGCTGCCTTTAAAGATCCAGGTCACGCGTAGTACTTCATTGATCATGCCATGACAAGCTTATCTGTCTTCTAACTTCCTGGGCGACATCTGGGTTCCTTTTTTATTGGAAACATGACTTCAGAGCTGATTGATTCCAGACTGATGCTTTGCAGAGCGGCAGTGTTCTATGCTTTCCATTTGCCGATGCCAAAATGACGCTGGCCGGTGCTGGGGCGTTATGCCCTGTGACCTGTTTCTAGCAGGAGCGTGAGGCCTGGTAGAATCCCAACACCTGGTTGAGGACTATATCAATGTACATAAGGCATAAGCCAACGAGGCCAGAGGAAGAGGTCATCGTCACTTCATCCGACCTAGAACGATCAGCAGCTAGGTGGTTGGAAGGGAGGTGGTTGGAGGGGAAGTGGTTGGAGGGGAGGTGGTTGGAGGGGAGAGTACGAGAAGGGGTTAACAGACCCCTAAAGGGTAGTCACGGAAGTCTTCTCTGCAACCAAAGCTGGCCAGTGGTCCCAGTATCCGTTGGATGATTGTTCGTTGTTGTTTTTTTTTTTTTTTTTTTGTTTTTCCGTTGGTTATTAAACTTAGAAGAAGGCATTCTGAACCTGGTTTCCAGCAGGTGAAGCTCCCCACCATTAGACTGGAGCAAGCAACTGAAAATTAAAGATTATGAAATTCATTTCCCAAAAACAAAACGGAAAACATGATCCAAATCAGGAGTGGTAACATCACAACGCGTTAGAAAGGTACAGCTTCAAGTTCCAAGTGTCAAAAAGAGGAGACGATGAGAGGGAGCGGAGGGAGAGGCAGAGGAGAGCGATGGGAATGAAAGAAAATGAACAATGACAACAGAAATAGAACAACAGCTCACCATGTAGGTGATCTTGAAGACTTCCATTTGGCATATACTGGTATGCCAGCAGCCTATGTTCCATATCAGTACAATAACCTAAAAATTCCACCAGATGTGGATGATGGAGCCTGCTCAGCAGGTCAACCTAGTGAACAAAACAACAACAACAACAACAACAACAACAACAACAAAAACAACAAAAACAAAAACAACAAAGACAACAGCAGCAGCAGCAGCAGCAACACAACAGCAACAACAACAACACATTTCATAATGTAAGGGACGCTGGACCCATTTTCCAGCAGGTGCAGCTCCCCACCAATAGATGGAGCACATTTCAAAAAAAAAAAAAAAAAAAAAAAAAAAAAAACAGCAGCAGCAGCAAGGAGGAGAAGAAAAAAAAAAAGAACAGCAACAGCAACACCATTAAAAGGACAACAATAACAAGCTTTCTAAGAATAGCCCTGCTTCTTAAAAAGATCCAGACCTCTTTCTCTTCTTTTCCAGCAGGGGTAAACGCACAAGTATGGTAGCACAAGAAGGTCAATTACAGCAACAGCAACAACAGCAGTGAGGAGGAGGAGAAGGACAACAACAAGAACAGCACCAATAACAATGACAACAAAAGCAATCTTTCTAAGAATAGCCCTTTTTGGTGAGAATATCCAGACCTCTTTCTCTTCTTTTCCAGCAGGGGTAATGGACCACTATGGAAGCAAAACAAGCTCGCATGTTGTCGTTTTAAAAAATAAAAGGGCGGACACCGACGGTACCATGGTCAAGATATTCTTCCAAAAGGCTTTCCAAAAACAGGGCTAGGCAAAACCTGGTACCGACATTGCACCATCCTTTCGATTCGCGAATGCCAGATGCCACCAACCCCTATGGGATTGTGGACTACGCAACACAATACTATCAAAAAACTTTTCACTTCAGAAGATGCACAGTGGGAAGGGGAGACACTGGAGAACGCAAGAGGTACATTGCTACAACATATGTCGTCCCTCTTGTCCCAACAGCAAAAAGAAGCACTCGAGGCGCCAATAACATCCCAAGACATTCTCAAAGCTCTAACGGCAATGGAGGATGAAAAAACGCCAGGATTAGATGCATTCCCCAAAAAAAAATGGCTGCACTTCTGGCCGCTCCTCCGTTGCGATCTCATGGACTATATTCACGCAGTGCAGCTAGAGGGCAGATTTGGTGGCCTCATGGGGCAGACAGTCACCACCTTGTTATACAAAAAGGGAGATAGAGCATAAATAAGAAGCTATCGGCCCATCTCACTCCTCCCCCTTCCCTACAAGATGGTGTCTAAAGCATTGTGCAATAGACTTCTTCCCTGTATGGGCCACATCATCCACATGGATCAAACTAGTTTCATGCCACAATGCAACATTCCATATAATATTTTGCTGGTGAATGAGACCATAAAGTACGGGTGGCGTGGGTCCAGATAGCCCAGCCAAGGAACAAAGGAGGCCTAGCAATTATAGACTCGGAGGATTAGATAAAGACCCTGATTTTTAAGATCATGGTCCACCTGCTAATGGTTGACGACGTCCCCTGGCTTCCCCTGGCTCATATCCAACTAGCTAACCTCACCCCACAAACCCCGAAGGATAAACCAATTAACCACCTAAGATGGCTCACAAATCCCTCTTGGTCCATCCCAGTAACTGCAAGGACAAGAGACGTGGACTCCCAAGCAACAACAACGAAGGCTGATCTGGCCAATAACCCCCTATGGACAACTCTCACGAAGCTCTGGAGAGACATTGGCCCCCAGAAGAGCCCCCTCGCTCCCTACGTTACCCCCCCC